ACTTCTCCAAGACTTAACATGCCTTCAATCCCTTTGCCTGGAAGACTCCATCCTTTGTGACCTGTCAGTTCAATAGTGAATGTGTTCATCTTTTAACTGTCTACTTTCCTATAAAACATTCTGCAGAGCCTATAACTCAGGGTATAAATGTCTGGAGGCCTAGAATGGCCAGCATTTCTAGAAGCTGATAGTGTTGTCGGGGCCAGCTGCCAAGGACTTGTATCCTGCAGTCTTCTCTTCAGTTTAAGAATAGTAGCAGCATGGGGCTGGGAAGGTGGCTCAGTGGTAGAGCGCTTGCCTTGCATGCATGAGGCCCTGGGCTCGATTCCTCAGCACCACATAAGCAAAAAGAAAAAAGGCAGAAGTGGCGCTGTGACTCAAGTGGTAGAGTGCTAGCCTTGAGCTGAAGAGCTGAGGGACAGCGCCCAGGCCCAGAGTTCAGGCCCCATGGCCGGACCCAAAAAAAAAAAAAAGAAAAAGGAATAATAGCAGCAGGGCTGGGAAGGTGGCTCAATGGTTAGAATGCTTGCCTCACATGCATGAGGCCCTGGGTTAAATTCTCAGCACCACATAAACAAAAACTTGGAAGTGTTGCTGTGGCTCAAGTGGTAAAGTGCTAGCCTTGAGCTGAAAAGCTGAGGGGCAGCGCCTAGGCCCAAAGTTCAAGCCCCATGACCAACAAACAAAAAAGAATAGTAGCAAAGAATGAATGTGTGTGTAGTGTTGGGTACCTGGGAATGTAAACAGGAATAAGAAACTCAGAAGAAACTTGTAGAGGAAGATATGGCAAGGATAGTGAGGTAGCCTTTCAGTCCTCTGAGATATGGTTTTGGTGGCTCCTTTTTCCTTTACAGGAATACAAACAATCATACCAACCTATGCTTGCACTCACTGGTTCTGTGATTCTGTTCTGAAGTCCACAGCCTGACAGGGCTGACCTGCGGAGCTGACAATAGCCACCCCAGTGTGACTGGAAGATTTGATGGGGGAGGAGAGTGGGAAACTGGAGTGTTGTAGAGAGAGGGGAGAGGGCCCCAGAAGGCAGTGGGGGGTGGGTCACCTGCCTGACAGACCTCAGGGGCCTCTGGGTGTGTTAGATGCTTACTTAGTAAAGATTTCTGCCTGTCTGGAGGCTTGTTCTTTTGTTGTTGTTGTTGTTGGTGGTGGTGGTGGTGGTGAGGCTTGAACTCAGTGCCTGGGTGCTGTCCCTCAGCTATCTTCCTCAAGGCTCTAGTGCTCTATCACTTTGGGCCACAGTGCCAGTTCTGGTTTTTGAGTGGTTAATTGAAGACAAGAGTCTCATGGGGACTTTTCTGTAGATCCTCAGATCACAGCCTCCTGAGTAGCTAGAATTGCAGGTGTGAGCCACTGGGTGCCCGGCTTTGGGGGCTTATTCTTGACCCATCTTTCCCTTGGCCCTGAGCTCTGCTACAGCTTGGGCCACTTCTCACTATGAGTGCGGTGGGTCAGGCCTAAATTTTGGCTTCTGCTGTTCTCCATTGCCATCTTAATCTCTTTCTCCCCCTACTGACATTGCTGCTTTCCCAGACCTTGCTTTCTCTACAGCTGCCTTGTCCCTCCATCTCTTTCCACCCTTGACTTTAATCTTTGTGTTATAGGTATTCAGCATTTGAGGATAGGTAGTTTTGCCTTAATTCTTTTAATGCCTCTATTTTTGCTTTCCCTAACTTAGCATTTCTCCAATGTGTTCAATTATGAAATAATTATCTTATTAAACACCAAGGCCAATTTACAATCAGAGTAGGAAATGATGGCTTTAGCTTTCATTTACAAATGTAGAGCCATAGCCCCTGAGAAGTATTTCTCAGTGTAATTTACTTGTGTAAGAACCTGTTTTTCATCATAAGGGGCATATTCCACAGGGCACAATTTCCAGAGGGCCACTGTAAATGACTTATGTTCTGGAAGAATGGAAGCCACGTTGTCCTCTGCTGTGGATCCTACATTAGCTGAAGGCAGCACTAGTCGAGAAATAGGTAATTTCTAAGTAAACTCTTAGGACTGTTGTTTGATAAAAATCCACCATTTTAAGCCATTTTGAAGCACATATTTCAGTTACATTTAGGATGTTAGCAGTGTGGAACAACCATGAACACTATGTAGTTCCAGAATATTTTCATCACCCTTTACCCATTAAGCTGTCACTCCCCATTTTATCCTCTCCCCGCCCTACGCCCTCCCCCCACCCCCCACCTCACCCCCCCCCCCCCCCCCCCCGCCACATGGCAACCACTAGCCAGCTTTCTGTCTCTAATGGGTTTGCTTATTCTGAACATTTTATATAAATGACCTCAGTATGTCCACATGTGAAGTTAGGAAACATACAAGGTCATAGACCTGGACGATACTTATATTCTTCCAAAGCGATGCTGTGTCATTGACAAAACTCCATAAGTATATAACAGAAAGCAGCCATCTGTCTAAAAGCCTCCAAGTCATGTTAATATGCTAGAAATTCTCATGGAGCGTAGCAGAAAGGGTTGCCATTACAAGACTTGGCTTGGTACTTCCGGAAGCTTGAACCGTGCTGGGATGCCCTTTCCTGGAGGTCCAAGGCGATTGAGCTGTTGACACAATTATCATCCTCACATTTTATAGGTGGAAATCTTAGCATTTCGTAGCTGCCCCATTTAGTAATTGTAGAATGTTCTAGCATGTACTAGTCTTAAACTCTTCAGAGGCATGTAGAAGAAAAAGATTTTGTTCTCCAAGCTACAGAGCCCTCAGTGTTCCATTGGGCAAATTCTTTGAGCTTGAAGACTTGTGTAAAATTAGCTGTCCCCGGGCTCTGTATCTCTTGTCTTAGAATTCCCAGGGATCAAGTACTCACCCACTACAAAGGGAGCTGCTGACTGCCCTTTTGGCACCTTCTGCTAACCAGAGTGACCCCTCACTTGCCTAAGTTGACTTAAGCAACCCTTTCCACATTGTTCCCTGGAATTCATATTCCAAAAGGTCTTTCTTCTCCAGGCTGTACCCTCTGACCTCTCCTCCTTGTCTCTAGAGTCAGGACACACCACTGTCTGAAGCTGTGTTGTCATTTGCCTAAATACCTGTTGTCAGTGTGCCATCTTCTGCCTAAGAACTTGTGATGCTATCTTTGTCCAAACACCTTTCTAGCTTTGAATATTTGCCTCTGCCTTCTCTATATAGAATGTGACCTTTTCTATTGATGAAGCTGATGTTATTCCTCTTTTCCCTCAAGTCTACATCATCTCTTGCATCAGACTTGGGACGACTGATTGCCATGATCAATATCAGTCTTCACTTGAGGCCCAGGAGTTGTACACAAAGCCTCCCCAGACATTCTAGTACCTCTTATTAGTCACACTAAACTCATAGTACACCCAAATATAACAGAATTTTGAGCTAGAAACATTTTTTTTCCCCAAAGATTTTCTCTTTGCCTTCTCTGCCAGTCATATGGCCAGTTCTCAGAGGAAGGGACCATCTGTTGGGGACGGAGAGGGAGTAAGCAGAGTAAGAAGGCATTGGAATATGAGTCTGAAGCCTGGATCACCTAAGAGCTTGTCACTTGGTTGCTTTTGTTGTCTTGGAAAAGCCATTTATTTTGAACTTCTTATTTGTAAGATAAGTAGGGGATATGATGTATGTATTAGTTTCCTATTTGCTGTTGTAACAAGTTATTACAGATTTAGTGGCTTAAAGCACCAACAATCCTCCTAAAGTTCTAGTGGCAAGAAGTACAGAATGGGTCTGCAGGACTACATTTTTAAGCAAGTTGTAGGGGAGAATTATTTCTTTGCATCTACCAACTTCTCCAGGCTCAGGTTTCCTGGACTAATTGTCCTCCAACTTCAAAGAACACCATCCAACCTCTGTTTCAGGGGTCACCTCTTCTCTGTGTCTCTCAGATGTCCTTTCTTCTTGAAGGATCCTTATAATACTTTGAGTCTATCCTATCCAGGGAACCTGCCATCTCAAACTTAATCCCATCTACCAAGTATCTTATATAAGCATTCAGAGATTTGGACATTGATGTATTTGGGGCCCTTATGCTACTATGGTGGATTCTTAGGTCTCTTGTTAGGTCCCTAACTTACCTTAAATCTAACAACATATTTCTTTGGTTTATATAAGAACTTAACACATTCAGTGCTAGGCTCATCATGTCTACTATCTATTCGTTCGTTTGATTGTCAATTGTAGGGCCTGAACTCAGAGCCTGAGCGCTCTGCCACTTTGAGCCACAGCAGGGCGTCTGGTCGTGGGCCTGAACTCTGGGCCTGGGAGCTGTCCCTCGGCTCTTCAGCTCAAGGCTAGTGCTCTACCACTTGAGCCACAATGCCACTTCTGGCTTTTTTTTCCTGCTTATGTGATGTTGAGGAATCGAACCCAGGGCCTCATGCATGTAAGGCAAGCGCTCTACCACTGAGCCACCTTCCCAGCCCCTGCTCAAAGAATTTTATTAATTTCCCAGTAATCAGAAAGAATTTTTCACCTGTTAATTATATTGGTGAGTCTATCACATACCTTCTTGTCTCTTGATAAAGTCTGGACTGTGTCTTTAGGTCTCTTGTATAAATTGTCTAATTCTAATGGTAAACGGCAGTTGTGGTTCTATGCACCCTTAAAGTCTAAAAGCTGAATCATCTTGGATGCTAGCTTAGTTCATTTACTTATAATGACAACTCTGTTAAATTGATGGTATTTCACAGCAATTTAGATTGGTGTTTATAAGAGAGTTATGCTGTTTTTTCTTTACCCCCTATTGAATAGTTACCACCTTGGATGACCACTGTAGAAAACACCAATAAAATATTTTATGGTGACTTTCTTTTGAGTTTCAGTGTTCATTCCGCTCATGGTACTGAAAAAGGATTCCTCATAGGTTGAAAAATTGTCCCAGCCTTAAAGTTTTAAGTTTTGAGGTTGCTTTTCCTGGAGTCTGAGAAATGTATAATGTGAAGCAAGCAAGTCTGTGTCCAGCCTTTTGAAGTCTCTTTCTGTTTTGTTTCCCAGATGCACCCACTGGGCCTGTGTAATAACAATGATGAAGAGGACCTGTATGAATATGGCTGGGTAGGAGTGGTGAAGCTGGAACAGCCAGAATTGGACCCGAAACCATGCCTCACTGTCCTAGGCAAGGTAAGCACTAGGCCCTTTGCATTATTGCCATTGCGATCAGTGTCATCCACTTAATAATTTCCTAAGTTTTAAGATAATTGGTTCTAAAAAATAATGCCAGCTCCCCCATGGTATAACCCTTGCCTTCACTGTATTTGATGTTGGTATAATTTGTGGAGGGGGAGGGGAAAAAACAAATCATTTAAATAGGGATACTGGTGGACCCATTGCAACAATGAGATGTACAAGTCATGTCGAAAAACGAACTTTACAACTTTGGCATGGCGGTGGCGGGGGTGGGGGAGGGTAGGGGTGGACAATGTTGCGGAGAGAGATGGGAAGGGATAGGAAGGGGAAACAGAGGAGGAGGCAACAATGCTTGATAAGAAATGTACTCATTATCTTGCCCATGTAATTTAACTCCTCTGTATGGTATTTTCACAATAAAATTAAAAAAAAATAATGCCAGTGCAGTGTTCCTTCCTGGATAAAGTTATATGGCACACCTTGAGGGGTCTGAGTTTCTGTGTAAGAGATTGATAATAGAAATTTATAATATTTGATCTTACCCCCTCAAGGCCAGGAATTTCAGAATTTTGAGATTTGGGGGGCTTAGAAAAATATTAGGGTGCCAATATTTTTTATTATACACCTTCGTATTCGTGTACAAAGTTTATAGATAACACATCAAATGGAATAACTAAAATCTTAAGTAGCCTCATGTTAGTGCAAGGTAGCTTTGCCTTCAAATGAGATCAGATTCATTAAGTTGCGCTGCCAAGTAAGTTATGGGGAAACTTGAATTTCAGAGCTTTTGGGATCTCCTGATGACAGACAGCAGTTGTGATCCAGTGTTAGAACTCACCCCAATGAGTGGTTAGGAGGTGGGGTTGAAGTATGAATGCTTTATGGAAGAATAAGCTCTCAAAACTGGCCCTTGTCACTCTTGTCACCCTGTTTAAAAAAGTCTTAACTAAGTGGGTCATCATTACTTCTAACTACATCATAAGACAGAATTAAGTCTATTTTGGAAAACTTCCATCAAAGACCTTAAAATGTGACGAGTACAGCTTAATTTTCTTTCTTTCTTTCTTTCTTCCTTCCTTCCTTCCTTCCTTCCTTCCTTCCTTCCTTCCTTCCTTCCTTCCTTCCTTCCTTCCTTCCTTCCTT